TGAAAGTAAAGGCCATAAAACTTGGCACAATAATAAAATTACCATTGAACAAAATATTCAATTTCTCAAAGGTAAACCTCCTCAAATTGAAGGGGAAAAAATAGACAATACAAACAACAATACAAACAAGTGTTTAATAATTAAAAATAATGAAACAGACAATAGAATAATGAGAACAGACAATGATGATACGGACAACACTGATCCTAACAAAAAAGGAAAGTGGCAGAACCAACAGACTTAATGGACGACAAAGTTAAATTAACCAAAAAAGAGTAGAACCTAAACTATGTTGATTGGAACAGAAATGGAAACTAACAGAATGTACTATTGAGCTTGAACAATGTATGGAGAATAAATGCATAATGAAACACATGTATACACTTAGTAAAAAGGATGAAGATAATATTACTATTCATTTAACAGAATTTAATACTAAAATAAGTAAAATACAATTGGATCTGACTTCATTTTATGAAGCAATCCAATGTCCAGATTGTGATTCATGGATTACAACTATGAAAGATGAAATAAAACAATTAGAAAATCATAATACATAGGAAATCACAAATCCACACAATAATATTAACATTATTAGAACACAATTTGTCTATAAAATAAAGCAATACACTGACAATAGTATAGAAAAATACAAAGCACAATTAGTAGTTCAAGGAAACTATCAGATTGACAGTCTTGACTATCATACAGACAATTTATTTGCTCCTACTACTAGACTATCTACAGTACAATTAATATTAGTATGAACAGTATCTAATAATTATGAAATACATCAGATAGATATAAAATCAGTATATCTGTATAGACAATTGACAGAAGACAAAGAAATATATGTTAAACCTCCTCTAAGTAACTTAATAGACAGATTACAGAATGGACAAATATTACAATTATGAAAAGCACTATACAGATTAAAACAAGCTGGTAGAAGATGGTATAAAACATTATCTAATATACTACTTAAATACAGATTAACGAAATCCGAACATGATAACACTGTATTCTTTGCAAAGAAGAAAGAAATAACTGTAACTGTATTATTTGTACATGTTAACAATATTACTATTACAGTAATGAATAATAATACTATTGTAATGATAAAACAATCTATTACATGTCATTTACAATATACAGACAGTAGTGAATTATACTAGCTACTTAGTATAGAGATTCAACACAACAGAGAGTATAGATTCATCAGGATGTGTCAGACACATTATATTAATAGTATAATAGAATGTTACAAACTTATGAATGAACAAAGTGTACAAACACTCATACAGCCTGGTACACAATTAAAAACAGTATTGTAAACTGATAACAATAGAGAACAAATGTCTAATATACTATATATGAACATGGTTAGCACACTTAGATACATTACAGACTGTACATGGTCAGATATAGCATTTGTAACAAATCAGTTAGCTAAATACCTTAATGACCCTAGTATGGAGCATTATCTAGCACTTAAACATTATTACATGTACTTAAAAACTACAAACAATGTCTGGCTCCAACTCAGTAGCACAAATCAATCAATATTGAACAGATATACAGATGCAGACAGTATGATACAAGAAGGGCATCATACAATATCAGGATATGCATTTTACTTGAGTGATTCATTAGTTTCATAGTCAAGTAAAAGACAAACACTGGTGGCAAATTCAACATATGAAGCTAAATTAATAGCTCTTGCAAGAGGAACACAAGAAGCAATTACACTTACTCATTTAGCTGAAGAGATTCTGTAGGTCTCTGATGCACCAATTAATATTTATTGTAATAATGATACTGTTATACAAATGGTTACATTAGACAAACTCAAATATTCGGAACAAACAAAGCATTTAGATCATAAGAAAGATTTTATTAAATGCTACATTGAGTTAGAGTACATAAATGTGAAATACATACAGACAAACAATTAATGAGCAGATATATTAACTAAAGTACTACATGTACCACAAGTCAAACATCTTACCAGTTTGCTCAGACTAGTAAGAGTTTGAAGGGGAGTATTATGAGATAATTAGTTTATTAATAGACAAACCATAAGACAATGACTTCATAATGTCTCAGTTAGAATACATACAATATAAGAACAAGAGACACTGAGCAGTCAATTGTCACCTTACCCCTTGTCTATACATGCCCCCCTTAAGTTTTCCCTCTTAACATTTAGTTTTGTTATTTTGGAAATTCATACATTTCATCTCATCTTCTCCTCAGAAGTGCTTATGGTAGCAGCTCATGGCTACTACTACTCTATCTATGTCCTAACATCCTGGGTGTGATTAGGAAGAACAGAATATGTCAATTTTGTCAACACACCTGTATTTAGTACCAGACCTGATCAGACAAGACAGATTTAATAAGGCAGGTAGTAGGAGAACAAAAAAAAAAAAAAGAATGACACAACTGCCATAGTTTTCCAGAACTACTATAGTAGGGAAAAGTACACCTGTATAACTACTTATTAAAATTTGCAATTCAATTTTGTAGTGTCACATACTTGACTCAAGTTCAATTGCTTATTTATTAAATTTAATAACTATCAACTACAACTTACTAGCTTGTTCTGCCTTCATCCTAATGTGTGTTATTTGTCATGTCTACCATGTCCAACAACATTGCTTTGTCTGTCCTGACTAAATATAGTGTCAAAGTGTACAAAGTCAAAAGGGAGAACAACTTGTATGAGGGATCTTTGACTGTGTTGTATGATAAGACCTGGACATTACAAAATGCAGATTCAGTATTTGACCTGGTAGACATTGTCTGTGACACAAAGGAGAAGGAACACACAAGTGAAGAAATCCTAGCAAAGGCCTGTGTACTAGGATGGTGTATTAGGGAAGAATCTCTAAATGTCTTACATACTCCCTTTTTGTGTTGTAGAATTTTTGTACAGGATGAATATTGTAAAATGTTGTTATTAATCTTTAATGTCTTTGACAACAACCTTGGCACACAAGCTAGCTATGTACCAGACAAGAGGATTGTAGACCTGAGATTATTTCCTCTACACAATCCTTTTATAGAGCTGGACATTAAATCAGTCTAGGAGATACTAATCCCTAGAGTTATTGTCACTAGAACACCTAGTATTAGTGAGAGAAGCAACTTCCTTCTTCTTTTTTCCAGACTGTACTCATTAGTATTTCAGGGAAAACATTATTTCTTTTGTATGTACTTATACTACACCTCCTTCTACAGTTTATAAAGGACAAGTTCATAATATTAGAAGCAGCTAGAGTGTTTGTCTGTGAGAAGATAGGGGCAGGCCTTCTATTCTTACCAGAACATACCTGGTTTCTGGTAGATAGTAACATGAGTATTTCCAAACTGCCCATTTTGTTCCTCAATACTTGTGTTTCATTCTCTCAGAAGCTGATTGTGGCTACAGTACTACAACAACATTAATTTGAGCTCATGAGTAAATACAACTTGTTTTGGACTACATGAATGTATCTGTTCGAGTTTTGGGAATATATTACAGTGTAGGCAGCTATTCTCTATCAACATAAAAACAAATTGAATATCAATAATAATTTTAATAGACAATTGTTTCAATTTGGCAATACTTGACTAACAGAATGCTAACTAGAGCTCTTCTTCCACAAATAGGGTCCTAATGCCTGTGTAGCATTCTTGAATACTATCAATCCAGAAAAATACAAAAGAGAAATTATACAAAATATCTTGGATACACCTTGAGACAACCTGAACAATAAGATTAGAAGCCTGAGTAGTAGCTATTTTCATACCAAATTTCTTCACAAGGCACTCATTGTAAAGCCTAGTAGTAATGATTGTTCTGATTACTATATCAAGTTTGTAACCAAGTCAGTTGTAGCATTAGTAATAGATACCTTCCTGAGTGTAGAGAAACAAAAGGCCCAGGTGTCAGGGAAAAGTCCATTTTCTTATATAGCTTTATAGTTCTTATATAGTAGAATACACATTATCTATAAATTATATAGTAACTGTAAGAATTTTAATAAGGTTATAAAGTAAAGATAATTCTTATACATCTTATAAAGGTTCTAAAAGTATTATTAATGAATATAATACAGTATATGTATTATAATAGCTTTAAATATTGAGTAAATATATTTTAACAAAAATATATTGAGAGTAAATACTTTATTATAGTATTTTACTTGAAGAAAAAGACTTGTGTCTACTATATAATATA